GGCAAAATATCGAAACAGTGAAACATTTTCGACAAAATGAAATGGGACAGTGCTTTGAAATGAAACAAAACAATGAAATGAAACACTGTCCTTTCACAATGGTGAAATGGATGTCAAAACAAAAACCTGCATGTCAAGTGGAATCTATGCTAATTTACAGAGGGAAAGTGAAACAGGTGTTAATTCCCTTGAAAATGGAATTTTTATGCAAACAGCTCTTGTTGCATCTGATTAGATTCAACTGCTTGACTATTCTAGTTATCTGTGAAACTATACATATTCTTATGTGCTGTAGGTAATTTGGAGTCAGCATACTTTAACTCTAGACTGAGACCACATGCAATATATAGCACAGTACATGCTGTCCACCTGGATTTGCAGTGCAAATTGGCAAGCGCACCTGTCGCCCTGACTGCCTCTAGAGAACAGTGGTTTAGAAACAGTCTGCTGCGCTTGGCACCCGTTTCCGCAAGGTGCTGGATTCTTCACATTAAAAGTCAATGGGAACCGAGTATGCTCAACAGCTTGTAGGAATTGCCAAATACCTTGCAGTATCAGGCCCTCTATTATCATAGGTTAACAGCAACGTTGGAGACCAAGAAGAAAAATCCTCCGTTGTTGTCATATCCACCCACTCTACAGAGATGTTTGGAAGTGTCTTGCTCACCAAAATGGAACGTGTCCAAAATCAAGCCAACTGCAGATGGGATTCTAGGCTTTCAAGTTACAGGTTCAAACCAAGCTACCTTTTCTTTGCCTTAGACTTCTCCTGAAGATAGTGAAGAGGTACAAGCGTTGACTCCTTCCCTTCCTCACAAGACCCCAACTGTTATAGCTTCTTCAATAGAAGGGTAAAAAACCATGCTGCCTTCAGAGAACTTCTTGCTTTCCAGATTGCCCAGTAGGGACTGCCGTGAAAGAAACAAAATATTTTCTTCCTGGACCCTCTTGTCCTGCAGTCGAGAATCTCACTTCTCAAGAAGTCCTACCTTCGCGCTCCCCAGGGTGCAAGAGACACCTAGACTCTTCAGAGAGTAGCTAGTGAACTGCAACGAGGCTTTTAGCGCACTGTTGTGCGGCCCATTGCTCAGTGCACAGCAAATATACAGAGCTAAAAAACTCTGAGCCCTGGAGAGTCAGCACTTCTCCTCTCTCAGGAAGTATTTAGCCGCTGTAGATTGAGATCTGGCAGAATAACGTACTTAGTTGAACACAGAACGGAGTAGCTGGTTTGCTCTTACTTTTCCAATGGTTTGTTCACATCCACTTGTGTACTGGTTCATCAGCTTTATTGAGAAATGATGACACTTGTGATGGTGGACAAAGGAGGTATCTTAACATTTGGCAGTTACTGGAGCTGAAGCCGCGGGACTGAAAGATTGCTTCATAAATCAGGTGTATCATAGAAGTCATAGAGACAACTTGTGTGCAGTTGCATGACATATACATGCCGGTTACAGCCCTGATTCTGCAAAACAGACCAATCCCTACTGATGGGGAACTGCTACAGTAGGGAAGGTTTCAGACTGCCCTTGCCTACTGCCACTTTTTAATAGCCAGCACTTTCCATTTAATTATGGATGCTCTGAACTGCATGGGAACTTGAGCTGGTAGGTCCCTATTTCATGGTCTGGTTGTGTAGAGCCGCTCAGGCTTTACTCTGGGGTAACGTGCTCAGTATGATAGGAAGTCAGTGGTGGCAGCCTCCCCAAGCCCAGCACCAAGGCTGATCATTAAAGCAGGCCACCTGGTTGGGATTCATTCTCATATGTTCATAGCAAAAGTATCTGTGCTCTAAAGCGAGAGCAGCTGTTCACCTGGAGGTGTGAATTCTTGTGTTTGTAGAGGAAGCCATCCCTGCTGTCTGCAAAACAAGAACTGTTATATACGAGATACCTCGGAGTCAGATTGATCCCACCTCTGCCAATTTCCTGATATGGCCACCATGCGTGGAGGTGAAACGTTGCACTGGCTGTTGCAACACCAGCAGTGTGAAATGCCAGCCATCACGGATACATCACAGAAGTGTCAAGGTGAGGCCATGGTGACTGCACAGGTGCAGAGGGCATCTCTTGCTGTAAGAAGATTGGTGCTTCAGACAGTCAATCAAATATGTTCTCCTCTGCTATTAGCAGATACTTTTCTTCATATCTGTTTAACAGAAAATATTGCTTGTAGAGTTGATTGTCGTGGACACCATTTTGTTTTTGGGTGGTTTTTAACCAAAAAAAAAAAAAATCTTAGCAAAAATAGTTCTCACTGGAGCTTTCCCAGGATCTGTCACAGCACAGAACTAGCATTTCGGAAGAGAGGCCGACTCAAGGGGCATGGGATTGTACAATCCACTGTACAGAATATTATTTCCTTAATTAATATTATGCAGCTTAAAACTGGGGCTTTTATATATGACAACATAACACTTTTGATCTGAAAAAAATGTGTTTCAAATGATCTTATCTCTAGGGGCAAGAGACTCAAGGGCATCATGCTCTATTAACTCATTAGGCAAAATCCTTTTCTCGTTGCCACAGTTTTCCATTAAATATTTCATGAAGTATTTATTATAGGCATGTTGCTTTCATATCGGTGTAAATCAGGGGACCTGATTAAGTCAGTAGACTTGCACCAGTATAAGGGACAACAGAATCCCATTTATTGGCCCCATTATTAACCTGTTGGCCCCATTTCTTGTAAATATTGAAGTTGACTTCTATTTTTAATAAACATCCTTCTAAGTGAATTTGCCCAGTAAAATGAACGGACTGTAGCAGTCACTGTGTCTTGCTGAGGAGTCATAAGAGGTGCTGCAGACTCATTTATTTAACCGACATGCCTTCCAAATGCAAAGTGTGATGTCTGAGCCAGTTATAAGGTATCTGAACACACCCAAAAATGTGGGCAGTTTTATTTATTTTCTTAATGGCTGAAAAACCCTTCCGGCTCTGATAAGATGGCAAATATCTGAAGATATTTTCTCGGCTTTTCCAAAAATAATTACCCAATACACTTGCATGCTATTCACTTGTGGATCTTGAAGCAGGTTGCAGACATAATTAAGTTAGAAAAAGAAAAACATGGGGCTGTTACATTGATCACTGGGCTGACAACCAGCTGGAGAAATTTAAGTCATTTAAAATAGTGGCCTAAAATGAAACTACCTCCTGAACCAGGAGTAAAACACCACCACGGGCAAGCCCAGTGCTATGATCTGTGGGCCCAGTCTTGCTTCCACGAGTTTTGTAGGCTCAGATCCTTCCGCTAATGCATTCACTTGGTGCAAAGGGATAGTAATGTAAATGCAAATGCCCAACAAAGAACTGTGCTGCCTGATGAGAACTCCAAGTAGCTTGTCTACACCACAGCCTGGCTCTTGTCTTTTGCCTTTCCAACATACAGGGTGCGGAAGAAGTTGAGTGGCATTTGCTACAGCCACTCTCCTCTTGCGTAGGATCTTAAGCCAGTGGCAGAATTTGAACTGATGCTTCTGTTAGGATGTTTTAATGTTACTGTCGGGGATGTTACCCATCTTGCTGCCCCCATGTAACTTGGCATCTCATGCAGTGGTACAGCAGTGGCCTTTTTGGACTTGCACTCATTTATTAGCATGCAAACTATAAGGACGATCATCTGAGAAATTGATTTCTAGGGCTGCATAAGTGCCAGTGACAGATACGCCCATCGGTCAGTGGTTCAGAAAACTTCAAGACAGTTCCCCTGCTCCGGACAGTAATTAAATAGAAAGGACAAGAGGTCAAACAGGAACAGGATGCTTATTGTAGAGGTTGCAGGCTGACCCCGCCATCACACCAGAGATCCTTGAACAAAATCCATATTTATTTCCTTCAGAGTCAGATCCTCTTGTAGCCTTTGATATAATTAATTGTTTTATGAGCCTTTTGGCAAGAACACATTGAGAGCTGAATGACTTTGTGTGCGTGTGTGCATGTGTGTGTGTGATGCCTGAGCAAGCCCAGTGTGAGGGTCACAGGAAAGGTAGGAGGAATTGGTCTGTGGGGCCATCTGG